TGTTTTATTATTTGCAATTCTTACTGTAATTGGTTTGTCTAATTTCTCTCAATATTTACTAGGTAATATGGATTCTTTTGCTAGACATATCGTTGCTCCTGTGTCTATATATGCTAGTAAAAATTTGTTAAATAATTCAACGTTTATAAATGAGCTATTTTTACTCATCTTCTGATTCAGATGATTCTAAATCAGTATCTGTTTCTGATTCTAAGTCATATATATCAAAATTTAATAATTCACCTTCTTCATATTCTTCTTCTATCGGTTCATAACCTAAAGAGAATATCATTTTTAACTTCTTTTCTCTTTCTGGTATATTTTTAGGACATTCATTCGCATAGTGTCCTATTTCTTGACATTTCCAACATCTGCAATTCTTTTTTCCTTTAGGACAATATTTAGGTTTTCCTAGATATTTTTCTTGTTTTCTAAACTTTCCTTTATACTTTATTTTCCAAGGTTTTCTAAATGTCTTATATCGTCTTGGTCTATATCGTCTATTAAACTTATTATATTTATAATATCTTTTCTTTTTGTATGGGTTATTACAACCAAATTCTTGTGGTACACTTTCTAACTGTTTGCAACATCTTGAATCGACTTTAGTCATTTCATGATGTTCTATTTTCCTTATACAAAGTTCATCTCTATATTCTTTTGCATATTTTTCTAAAATTCCTAGAGTTTTTTCTTCTTTTGTTTCACTGATTTTCTTCTGAATATATTTATTCATTTCATATTTAAGTTTACTTTCAACTATTTCTATTAGTCCCGAGCGGTCCTTTATTTTATAAAAATTTTCTCTTACTTGACAGAAAAATTTTTTTATGTAGCATATATTGCATAACCTCATATTTGTTAGGAATCAGACTACCTTATCTTTTTGTGTCTCGTTTGATTCTTGTCCTGTAATTCCCAAATATTCTTTTAATAAATCTTTTTCTAATTCTTTTAAGGCTGATATTTTATATTCTGCTCCTGTTTCTGAACCACTAGCTTCAAGATTTAATAAAATTCGAGTATTTTCTAGATAATCAAATAATACTCCTGATGTTTTATATCTTATACAATTGAAAAAATCAATTAATGTCATTCCATTTATCATTGAGTCATTAGTTTGAACTAGTAATTTTAATTGATTTGTCCAAGTGACTATTAGATCTTCTGCATTAGTTGCACAATCTATATTTAATATTCCATTGGATAAATTTCTTTCTTTTTCTAAATATGCAGGTAGAATATTTTTCTTAATTTTTCTTGATGCTAACTATAATTATTTCGATATATAAAATCTCTAAAATTGCTTTCTACATAATTACTTTGTGAACTAGATGCTTCATTATTATTTGTTCTAGGTCGTTTTGGTGATAAGGGTGGTGTTGTATGAGGTTTTTGATCAGTCATGTTAAATGTTGGTTCATCTTCATCTTCGCTATCTATTCCATAAATTATTCCTTGTTTATCCTCATCATCTATTTTTGCCATTCTAGTTTCTTCAATATTGCATTTTTCTAGTAATTGTGTTAATCTATCTATATCATCCATTAGAGCTTGTTGGTGGTTCTATTTGAATTATTTTAAATAATTTTTTCCGTGATTTTTTTTTTTTTTTT